AGCGCAAGGGCGTTCTTCATCGGAAGAAGCAGCGTACTGATGGTACGGCTTAAGCCGACCAACGTAAAATGTGGGATGCATGCGCATCTTACGTGGCAACTCGATCGTGTATGCATTGCCTAGGCGGAGCAATACACGAAATGGGTCGATGTACTTGGGTAGTAGTTTACTGCTACCCAAGTTAGTCACTACATGCTTTGGTAGATTAACCGTAGACATTAGGACTAAGTCACCTTTGTTAAATAAAAGAGTGTTTGCCCTTCCATTCTTGTCAGCGTTTCTCTTTTGCTTATCCACCGCTTCGGCGATGGAATCTTGCACAAAACAGACTACCGTTTCACGAGCCAGGATAAACTCATCTGATGACTCGTTAGCTTCAGTGCGCTGTGAGCGCACTGCAGCAACATCAACCTTTTCTTCAGTGAGGGCTTCCGCACTCTCACTGGCATCATCTTCTTCAATATCGATGTTATCGATATCGGCATCAAACGCAATGACCTCTTCGTCAGAGCGTGATGAGCGTGAACCAAATCGGTTTTTGCTCGCGCGAGTCCCTCCCCCCTTAAACCAGAGTTACAATCTAGTAAGGTGGGTACACGCGGATGGCGTAAGCCATTCACGTAAAACGGTGTATGTGTCGTGGACGCATGCACCGAGTTGTTAATGGCAAACTCTACCACTGGCAAAAACTCACTCCAACTCTTGAAGGAGTGTACGTATCCTCGAAGTATCTCTTCAAGGACACGATTGGCACGTTCCGTCTGACCATCTGACTCTGGATGATCAGATGTCGACATCTTCAAGCGCGTTCCGAGTGATTTGAACACGGAACGCCAAAAATCAGCAGTGAATCGTGGATCTCTGTCTGATACGAGTTCACGGGGCAACCCATGAAGTCGGAAGATGGTGTCGATAAAGACACAAGCACAGCCACTTGCCGTTATTGTCTCTGGTACATCCACAAGGTGTACCATTTTGCTGAATCTGTCAACAAATACAAGAATACCCGTATTCCCGCGTGCGTCTTTGGGTAACCCGAAGACGAAATTCATTAAGATGGATTCCCAGCACTCAGCCGGAACCGGTAGAGGCTGTAAAGGTGCACGCAGTGAAGGACTTGACTTCACTCGTTGGCAGACTTCGCATGCGCGAACATACTTTCGCACAAACTGATACTGGCGGGGCCAGTAAAAGTCTCGACTCACCGTGAGATGTGTTTTCTCCCGGCCACGATGTCCTCCTATAGGAGCATCGTGATACTCAAACAAGATCCGCAAACGCAGATCAGTATCATCTGGAATGACAACACGTGGTGTGTCACCAGAAACGGCTGTATAATACAGTAAACCGTTGCGAGTAGTGTATCGATCTGATGCAGATCGATACGCAGGAGACAATCGTTTCAACGATTCTCGAGATGGTTAGGAGATTTGTGTCAACAACTTCACAATCTCACCATCTTGGGCGTATGCCCGCCTCACATCATCATACAACGTTGTAGATGGGACTGAGGACGTCATACCCGCAACAGTGGCTGTCTCACTGTTGGGTTTCGCGACTGTTTCAAAGTCGGGACGACGTGAGAGTGTATCAGCGACGACATTAAGTCGTCCTGGTTTGTTTTCGACCGTAAAGTTGTATTCTGCAAAGAATGACAACCACCGCGCCATTCGTTGTGAAAGGTGCGGGCTGTTCACTGCCGTGCGTAATGACGCATGGTCAGTGTAAACAACGAAGGGTCTATCTCCTAATAGATAGACTCTGAACTTCGCGAGTGCATCGACCCACCACCAGCAGCCTGCTGCTGTCTCAACAGTTCAAACTGTTGAGCACCCTGTTCTCTCAACACCCTGCTTGTTGAGAACCTTGTTGGTGAAGCAAGGCTACTTTCTCGCGTTCAGCGTCAAGTTCATTTTGAATGAACTTGGCGATAGTAGCATGTTGGGCATCTTTATTGAGAGCCTCTAGCATGACGCTAACAGCGTGGATGTCCATGGTTGAACCCATCCGTTCAACCGCATCCCATTCGACATCGATCAAATGGGAGTAGCCGTCACGCGTCGCATGAAAGCTTTGGTCATCTTCATCATCCAACATATTCATGATAGGTGTGAACGTGGTCCTTGGACGGACTACGAAGTACTACCAGGTGTAACGGGGCACCCTGAAGCTTGTACTAGTGACAGTACAAGCTACTTATTCTGATGATAGAATAAGGCGGTGCCTCGTAACTTCACGTACACTCGTACGTGCAGAGGGAAGACGGTAAGAAGAAGCGAGTACTTGGTTAGAGTAAAAAGTAGAACTGTATTTATAATAGTTAATGTCTGCAATAAATCACTATTTATCTTCATCTAACTATGTCTAAATACAAATGTGTAAATCAACTATCTGCTCACCATCATTGCGTGCGTCTGTCGCGGCGCGTCTTCGTTGGTCGATAGAATGGCCTATATCAACCAATTAGGAACTACTTGTAAGTGCAACAGAATATTTGTCCTTTTGACAATATTCTGAGAATATAACTCTTATAGTTATATTCTATTAACAATTTCTTATGAATTGTTATGCAACGATTCACCCCGTTACATCACCCCCCCCTTAACCATCAGTCACTTTAGTGACTCATTGACTAAATGGATACTCGTCCCAAATCATTTGGGACAGGGTTTGCACTTATGGTCCGAGTCCACTTCCCAACATATCATCGCATGGTTAACAAGCCCATGCGATGCGCGAGCAAGGCCGCCGAGAGCGCGTCCGCACGTCTCTGTGCGGACGCCGAAGCAGAAACCGCTGCAATTGATGTGTCATCGGTTGCTGAAGCGACTCAGCCTGTGTCACTTGGTGATGCAGGTGCTGGTCATGAAGACACTCATGTCTTCACAGAGTATGAGCTCGGTGTCTCGTACTCTCCTGATACGGAAGACGGATCCGTATCGACGGCGATCGAATCCAAGCCGCCCGCCAAGCGTGGCATGGACGATGCTTTGCGTCGTAGCATCTTTGGTTCATCTGATGAATTAGATGAACCATCGCCAAAGCGAAGGCACTCGAGGTCGCGAGACTCGGGCGCTAATAGTGGTGTCGGTTCTTCCATGGACACCACTTCGCAACGAGGTGCCAGTCCTTCTGTCGACACATCGCAGGAAGAGCGGGACCGCAATGTCTTGCGTCTAGCTCCCGAGAAGAAGGCATGGATGCCTCCCAAATCAGTCATGGATCACTTGTCGGCGACGACGAGTGATCGTTATCGAACACGTTTGTTCGATTCGTCAAGGATCCATCACCTTGACCCCAGCGCGAAAAATTATCGCGCTGAGAATGAATTCTTCATCGATGCTTTCTTTAGACATCGATGGTACAGTGGGAATCAAAAGCGTGATGGTCTCTCACTACTTCAAGCGTGGAACGCCTACACCCATAACCTTGAGGATGTAGGTCGTGACGCTTGGAACGACAAACTTATCAAAGCTCGTGATAAGTTTGAAAAGCGAACCCCGACAGGTGCACGCTACAAGCTGCATCGTCTGTCAAGGGAGAAGGGATTACCCTGCCTCTCATGGGGAGACTCGTGCCCATGTTGTGTGAACAACTCTGCACGAGCACCTAAGGAGGCTTACCTCCTTACTAGCCCTTGGTGGCGCGTACGTATCTCTACTGGGATGTACGAAGGGATTGACAACCTGAAATCCCTTTACGACCGTGCCGGGAAGAATTTCTCCGGCGGTCCTTCTGCAGCACAGGATGTGCCGCGTCGTACTGCCCAACCAGACCCAGTGCGTCGATCATCAGTTGGGAGCGGGGCTCCCAAGTATCCCAGGACGGGGGATAGCCGCGCCACCGGACGAGATAACTCGTCCGACGTCCGTTCACGTCGCGGTGGTTCAACCGCTGCTAAACTATATAGCGCTGGCCACCGCGAGAGTCCTCAAATGGAGGTGGAGGAGGAGGTAAGACGCTCTCCACACGATCATGGGGATCCGTGTTCCCGAAAGCTTCTTTGATCGCGTAACGCAAGGGTTACGCAACTATCTCGAACATGAGCGGGACAGGTGTCTTCAAATGGCGGACACTGTCTCGAAACATCGAGCTGAGTTTTCCTTTGCTCAGCTTGAGAACGAGAGATTTCTGACATCTCTTCGTGACGAGCTAAGGGTAGCTCGTGGGATTGTTGATCGGTCTCGGGATGAGATAGCTGCTCTTCAGACCCTTGTCGATGCCCACCTTTAGAGCACAAGGCTCTCTGCGAGATGCTTTAGCGCAAGGGCGTTCTTCATCGGAAGAAGCAGCGTACTGATGGTACGGCTTAAGCCGACCAACGTAAAATGTGGGATGCATGCGCATCTTACGTGGCAACTCGATCGTGTATGCATTGCCTAGGCGGAGCAATACACGAAATGGGTCGATGTACTTGGGTAGTAGTTTACTGCTACCCAAGTTAGTCACTACATGCTTTGGTAGATTAACCGTAGACATTAGGACTAAGTCACCTTTGTTAAATAAAAGAGTGTTTGCCCTTCCATTCTTGTCAGCGTTTCTCTTTTGCTTATCCACCGCTTCGGCGATGGAATCTTGCACAAAACAGACTACCGTTTCACGAGCCAGGATGAACTCATCTGATGACTCGTTAGCTTCAGTGCGCTGTGAGCGCACTGCAGCAACATCAACCTTTTTGTTGACGGTCATCGGTTTCTACCAGTATTGGTAACCGTGACCGGTCCAATCCGAACCGCCTGTTCAGCTTAGTATTTACGACGTAGTTCTTACGGTAATTACCATAGTTGATTAGACGCGTAGGATGATGAGACGCTTCACATGATTTATATGTGCACCACATATAAATCATGTAGTAAGTAGTAAGCCCCGATAATCAATCACTTTCCAATCTTCCATCTACCCCAAGTGTCTTCTCCGGTCTTCCAAGTGGACTCTCAGCATCCCTCCCAGTTTCGGTCGTCAAGCTCTTCATCATTCAACAGGTTATGAGCCCAAGCACGATGTCCTCTGCCCATGATGCCACCACCAAGATCTCCATCGACAAGTTCGACGGCGACAACTACGCGACGTGGAGCCGCTACATGCGTGGCGTGTTCCTGACCAAGTCGGCGTGGCACGTGGTGAACCGGGAGACCACCCCCACCTTCGCCGATCCTCGCGCCAGTGACGACTACGTCAAGACGAACAACATTGCGTTCGGCTTGATGCTGCTGCACATGAGCGCAGATTATCATCACGTGGTTGATGACTGTGAAGAGGCGTGGGTCGCGTGGGCGCGTTTGAAGACGCTGTACGGCGGGTCGCAGAAGGCTGGACGCATCTACTTGAAGCGCCAGCTGTTCAGCATGGAGATGGCGGAAGGCGGCAATGTGTTGCATCATTGCAATGAGGTCCTCAACATCAGCGCAAAGCTGGCTAGCATCGGCGCCAAGATGTAGGACGAGGACGTTGCGATCTGCTTACTGCGCAGTCTGCCCAAGAGTTTCGAGAACGTGGTTCTCAACTTGGAGATGAGCAGCGCGGAACTGCGATCGCGAGACGTCGTGAGAGTGCTCACGAATGAGCACATCAAGAGGCAAGGTGACAAGACGACATCGGTGAAGACTGAAGACGCGGCCAAGGCGTTTAGTACCGAGCGTGAACCGCATCATTGCACGTACTGCGGAAAATTGGGGCATACGATGGACCGATGCTGGACCAAGCAGAAGAACGAGAATCAAGGTGGAGCTCGACGCGGCGGCAACAATGCTCGTGGACGCGGAGCCAACAACGTTCAGTGGCGAACCAACAGCAACTACGACGACAACTGCGATCGAGTTGCGTTCGCGGTTTCGCTGGAGGCCGGACTTTCGACGGGCAAGAATATGCCAGGGATGTGGGCAGTCGACAGCGGTGCGACGCATCACATCTGCAACGACAAGGCCAAGTTTGCAAGCCTGAATGAGCGAGAGGAAGGCGAACTATCAGTGGCTGATGGCAGCAAGGCTGCGATCAAGGGTGTGGGAACCATCATGGAACGGGTGGTTCTGCCCAATGGTGACGAACGCGACATCGAGATCAAGGACGCGCTGTTCGTACCAAGCATGAGCAAGAATCTGCTTTCGGTGCCACAGATCAACAAGGGTGGGAGGTTCCAAGTCGTGTTCGATGGATCCAAGATGCAAGTGAAGCGCAAGAATTCCACACAAGTCGTGGCAACAGCGGATCTCGTCGATGGACTTTACTGGCTGCGGACTCCTCAACGATCGGCAAATGCAGCAACACGCAATGGGACCATCGACTTGCATGCGCGCATGGGTCATGCACCTCTCGAAGTTCTGCGCAAGATGGTGGCCACTGGCATGATCAAGGACGCCAAGGCACCTCTCAACTCGACTGGTCCAAGTGTGTGTCGCGGTTGCCAGCAAGGAAAGATGGTCCAAAAACCATTCCCAACCAACCGTGACAAACGCCAATATGGTATGTTCGAGTTGCTGCACTTCGACATCTGCGGGCCAATGGAACAAGTCTCGATCGGTGGCAGCAGATACTTACTGCTTGTGGTTGACGAAGCCAGCGGTTGCATGAAGGGCTTCTGTCTGCGGTCCAAGTCTGAGAGTGAAGACTGTATCAAGAACCACATCATCAAGATTCAAACACAGTTCGGCACGAAGATCAAGTTTGTTCGGCACGATGGAGCGCATGAATTTGCGACCAACTCGATCAAGACCTTCTACGAAGATCATGGTATCGAACAACAGATCACGGTGCCGTATGCACACCAGACCAACGGCACCGCAGAACGCGCGATAAGGACCATCGTCACGATCGGACGCAGCTTGTTGCATCATGCAAAGCTGGAGAAGTGTTTCTGGGCTGAAGCGGCAATGACGGCGATCTACATCAAGAACCGCCTGCCTTCACCCAAGATCGACCACAAGACTCCGTTCGAGATCGTGTACAAGTCGAAACCAAGTGTCAAGCACATGCGCGTGTTTGGATGTCGGGCGTTTATCCTGACACCAAGGGAGAAGCGATTGAAGTGGGACCCGAAGGCTCGTGAAGGGATGTTCATGGGCTACGAAGAAGTGTCAAAAGCTTATCGAGTGTACGACATTGAGGCGGACCAAGTGGTGATCAGTCGTGACATCACCTTCGACGAATCGACTTTTGACTTTTCGATGGACCGACCAAGTGACGATGATGAAGATGCGGAGTTGGATCTCGACCTCCTGGCGATCAACGAGGACGACGTGCGTCAAACTGTCTACAAGCAGACTGGCAAGCGCAAGAGTGAAGCAAGACCCGGCATGTCACGTTCAGCTCGCCCTCGAACTGGATTGGAACAAGCAAGTGCGCCGGCACACGTCTCCAACCGTCACCAGAAACGACGATCAAGTGCTCCAGAAACGATGTCTGATGACGAAGAAGATGCAAGCGTCTACGATCAAGATGACGACTTGACGCCTCCAACATTTTGGCGTGCAAGTGCAAACGCAGTGGAAGCAACGGACCTAGCAGAACCTGTGACTTTTCAAGACGCGATCAATGGTCCTGATCAAGCTCACTGGCGAAATGCTGTGAAGGCGGAACTCAAGTCGATGCATCTTCGTGGAGTTTTCCGTGCGGCAAAACTACCAAGAGGCCAAGGCGCGATCGGCACCAAGTGGGTGTTCAAGATCAAGCGCAAAGCGGATGGATCGGTCGAGAAATACAAGGCGCGTCTCGTTGCCAAGGGCTTCAAGCAGAAGTACGGCATCGACTACACAGAGACGTTCTCGCCCGTGGTCAAGTACGTGACACTGCGTATGGTGATCGCGATCACCAAGTATTTCGACTGGCCACTGGACCAACTCGATGTGGTGACAGCCTTTCTCTACGGAGTGATGAAGGAGAAGGTGTACTGCGTGGTACCAGAAGGCGTCGAGATGGATGGCGACTTCGACTGTCTCGAGTTGGTGAAGGCGATCTACGGTCTCAAGCAAGCTTCACGTGTGTGGAACGAGACTTTCGATGAGTTCGTATGCTCTATCGGTTTCGAAGCGTCGGCGTTCGACCCATGTCTCTACATCAAGGTTGTCGATGGTCACTGTGTGCTCGTGCTGGTCTACGTGGATGACGTGTTGGTCACCGGCAGCTCGCTCGAGTTGATTGCGCAGACGAAGGCCGACCTCAAGACGCGTTTCGAGATGACCGACAGTGGCAAGTGTACTTTTGTACTGGGCATCGAACTGGTGGACGAATCGGATGGCAGCGTGACGATGTGCCAGCGACGGTATGTCAACGACATCCTCAAGCGCTTCGGCATGGATGAGTGCAAGGCCACATCAAGTCCGGTCGACTTGAGCACTCGGCTTGTCGCAAGCACCGAAGCGGCCAAGATCGACGTTCCGTTTCGTGAAGCTGTGGGAGCTTTGATGCACTTGACGACTGCGACGCGCCCGGACATTGCGTATGCTGTGGGGTACGTCTCGCGCTTCATGGAGAATCCGCAGCAAGAACATTGGACGGCGGTGAAGCGCATCTTTCGTTACTTGCAAGGGACCAAGTCGCACGGACTCCGATTCCAGCCAAGCGATAAGATCGACTTTCGTGGCTACTCGGACGCGGACTGGGCCGGCGACCACGCTGATCGCAAGTCGACTTCCGGGTTACACTTTCATGCTGATGGGTGCTCCTGTGAGTTGGGGAAGCAAGAAGCAGTCAAGTGTGTCGCTGTCGACGAGTGAAGCGGAATACATCGCACTGAGTCTGGCCATCCAGGAAGGCAAGTGGGTGCATCGCCTGCTATGCGAGATTTTGGCGGCCGCAAACGAACCAGGACCGGACCTCGTCATCCGTGAAGACAACCAGTCGTGCATCAAGATGACGAAGAATCCGGTGAATCATGGCCGCGCCAAGCACATCGACATCAAGTACCATCACATCCGTGATGAGGTCAAGCGCGGTGAAGTGCAGCTCGAGTATTGCGAGACTTCCGTGATGATGGCGGACATCATGACCAAGGGACTTTCGGGACCTCGTCACAAGGACTTGACGACGGCTCTCGGCATTCGTGCGAGTTCGGATTGAGGGGGCGTGTTGACGGTCATCGGTTTCTACCAGTATTGGTAACCGTGACCGGTCCAATCCGAACCGCCTGTTCAGCTTAGTATTTACGACGTAGTTCTTACGGTAATTACCATAGTTGATTAGACGCGTAGGATGATGAGACGCTTCACATGATTTATATGTGCACCACATATAAATCATGTAGTAAGTAGTAAGCCCCGATAATCAATCACTTTCCAATCTTCCATCTACCCCAAGTGTCTTCTCCGGTCTTCCGAGTGGACTCTCAGCATCCCTCCCAGTTTCGGTCGTCAAGCTCTTCATCATTCAACACTTTTCTTCAGTGAGGGCTTCCGCACTCTCACTGGCATCATCTTCTTCAATATCGATGTTATCGATATCGGCATCAAACGTAATGACCTCTTCGTCAGAGCGTGATGAGCGTGAACCAAATCGGTTATTGCTCGCGCGAGTCCCTCCCCCCCTTAAACCAGAGTTACAATCTAGTAAGGTGGGTACACGCGGATGGCGTAAGCCATTCACGTAAAACGGTGTATGTGTCGTGGACGCATGCACCGAGTTGTTAATGGCAAACTCTACCACTGGCAAAAACTCACTCCAACTCTTGAAGGAGTGTACGTATCCTCGAAGTATCTCTTCAAGGACACGATTGGCACGTTCCGTCTGACCATCTGACTCTGGATGATCAGATGTCGACATCTTCAAGCGCGTTCCGAGTGATTTGAACACGGAACGCCAAAAATCAGCAGTGAATCGTGGATCTCTGTCTGATACGAGTTCACGGGGCAACCCATGAAGTCGGAAGATGTTATCGATAAAGACACAAGCACAGCCACTTGCCGTTATTGTCTCTGGTACATCCACAAGGTGTACCATTTTGCTGAATCTGTCAACAAATACAAGAATACCCGTATTCCCGCGTGCGTCTTTGGGTAACCCGAAGACGAAATTCATTAAGATGGATTCCCAGCACTCAGCCGGAAGGAAAAGAGATCGAAATGGGATCCGAAGGCTCGTGAAGGACTATTCATGGGGTACGAAGAAGTGTCAAAGGCATATCGCGTTTACGACATTGACGCGTAGCAAGTGGTGATATCTCGCGATGTCACATTCGACGAATCAACGCTAGGTTTCTCGCCGAGGCTACCACAAGAAATTGTTGATGACACTGCGCTGGATATCGAATCGATGAACATCAGCGATGAGCCTCACCCCATGCAGTTCAAGCAAACTGGAAAACGCAAAAGCCGTTCAAACAGTCAAGAACAAGTTCTACAACGAACACTTCTTGAGCGTCGTGGAACCGGATTAGAAGAAGCAAGTGCCCCGGATGACTCTGAATCGCACCAAGCGAAGCGACGATCAAGCGCTCGAGACAATCTGGACGAAGAGCAAAAGGGCAGTGACGAAGATAACGAGGATGCTACACCTCAAGTCTTTTGGCGAGCGAGTACCAATGCAGTCGAAGGTACTGACTTGTCTGAGCCGACAACGTTTGGAGATGCTGTTGGTGGACCAGATCAAGTGCATTGGCGTAAGGCAATCTGTGCCGAGTTGGACTCGATGAAACTTCGTGGCGTGTTTCGAGCGACCAAACTTGTTGACGGTCATCGGTTTCTACCAGTATTGGTAACCGTGACCGGTCCAATCCGAACCGCCTGTTCAGCTTAGTATTTACGACGTAGTTCTTACGGTAATTACCATAGTTGATTAGACGCGTAGGATGATGAGACGCTTCACATGATTTATATGTGCACCACATATAAATCATGTAGTAAGTAGTAAGCCCCGATAATCAATCACTTTCCAATCTTCCATCTACCCCAAGTGTCTTCTCCGGTCTTCCAAGTGGACTCTCAGCATCCCTCCCAGTTTCGGTCGTCAAGCTCTTCATCATTCAACAGGTTATGAGCCCAAGCACGATGTCCTCTGCCCATGATGCCACCACCAAGATCTCCATCGACAAGTTCGACGGCGACAACTACGCGACGTGGAGCCGCTACATGCGTGGCGTGTTCCTGACCAAGTCGGCGTGGCACGTGGTGAACCGGGAGACCACCCCCACCTTCGCCAATCCTCGCGCCAGTGACGACTACGTCAAGACGAACAACATTGCGTTCGGCTTGATGCTGCTGCACATGAGCGCAGATTATCATCACGTGGTTGATGACTGTGAAGAGGCGTGGGTCGCGTGGGCGCGTTTGAAGACGCTGTACGGCGGGTCGCAGAAGGCTGGACGCATCTACTTGAAGCGCCAGCTGTTCAGCATGGAGATGGCGGAAGGCGGCAATGTGATGCATCATTGCAACGAAGTCCTCAACACCAGCGCGAAGCTGGCTAGCATCGGCGCCAAGATGGAGGACGAGGACGTTGCGATCTGCTTACTGCGCAGTCTGCCCAAGAGTTTCGAGAACGTGGTTCTCAACTTGGAGATGAGCAGCGCGGAACTGCGATCGCGAGACGTCGTGAGAGTGCTCACGAATGAGCACATCAAGAGGCAAGGTGACAAGACGACATCGGTGAAGACTGAAGACGCGGCCAAGGCGTTCAGTACCGAGCGTGAACCTCGCCAGTGTACATACTGCGGAAAATTGGGGCACACGGCGGAGCGGTGCTGGACCAAGCAGAAGGACGAGAATCAAGGTGGAGCTCGACGCGGCGGCAACAATGCTCGTGGACGCGGAGCCAACAACGTTCAGTGGCGAACCAACAGCAACTACGACGACAACTGCGATCGAGTTGCGTTCGCGGTTTCGCTGGAGGCCGGACTTTCGACGGGCAAGAATATGCCAGGGATGTGGGCAGTCGACAGCGGTGCGACGCATCACATCTGCAACGACAAGGCCAAGTTTGCAAGCCTGAATGAGCGAGAGGAAGGCGAACTATCAGTGGCTGATGGCAGCAAGGCTGCGATCAAGGGTGTGGGAACCATCATGGAACGGGTGGTTCTGCCCAATGGTGACGAACGCGACATCGAGATCAAGGACGCGCTGTTCGTACCAAGCATGAGCAAGAATCTGCTTTCGGTGCCACAGATCAACAAGGGTGGGAGGTTCCAAGTCGTGTTCGATGGATCCAAGATGCAAGTGAAGCGCAAGAATTCCACACAAGTCGTGGCAACAGCGGATCTCGTCGATGGACTTTACTGGCTGCGGACTCCTCAACGATCGGCAAATGCAGCAACACGCAATGGGACCATCGACTTGCATGCGCGCATGGGTCATGCACCCCTCGAAGTTCTGCGCAAGATGGTGGCCACTGGCATGATCAAGGACGCCAAGGCACCTCTCAACTCGACTGGTCCAAGTGTGTGTCGCGGTTGCCAGCAAGGAAAGATGGTCCAAAAACCATTCCCAACCAACCGTGACAAACGCCAATATGGTATGTTCGAGTTGCTGCACTTCGACATCTGCGGGCCAATGGAACAAGTCTCGATCGGCGGCAGCAAATACTTACTGCTTGTGGTTGACGAAGCTAGCGGTTGCATGAAGGGCTTCTGTCTGCGGTCCAAGTCTGAGAGTGAAGACTGTATCAAGAACCACATCATCAAGATTCAAACACAGTTCGGCACGAAGATCAAGTTTGTTCGGCACGATGGAGCGCATGAATTTGCGACCAACTCGATCAAGACCTTCTACGAAGATCATGGTATCGAACAACAGATCACGGTGCCGTATGCACACCAGACCAACGGCACCGCAGAACGCGCGATAAGGACCATCGTCACGATCGGACGCAGCTTGTTGCATCATGCAAAGCTGGAGAAGTGTTTCTGGGCTGAAGCGGCAATGACGGCGATCTACATCAAGAACCGCCTGCCTTCACCCAAGATCGACCACAAGACTCCGTTCGAGATCGTGTACAAGTCGAAACCAAGTGTCAAGCACATGCGCGTGTTTGGATGTCGGGCGTTTATCCTGACACCAAGGGAGAAGCGATTGAAGTGGGACCCGAAGGCTCGTGAAGGGATGTTCATGGGCTACGAAGAAGCGTCAAAAGCTTATCGAGTGTACGACATTGAGGCGGACCAAGTGGTGATCAGTCGTGACATCACCTTCGACGAATCGACTTTTGATTTTTCGATGGACCGACCAAGTGACGATGATGAAGATGCGGAGTTGGATCTCGACCTCCTGGCGATCAACGAGGACGACGTGCGTCAAACTGTCTACAAGCAGACTGGCAAGCGCAAGAGTGAAGCAAGACCCGGCATGTCACGTTCAGCTCGCCCTCGAACTGGATTGGAACAAGCAAGTGCACCGGCACACGTCTCCAACCGTCACCAGAAACGACGATCAAGTGCTCCAGAAACGATGTCTGATGACGAAGAAGATGCAAGCGTCTACGATCAAGATGACGACTTGACGCCTCCAACATTTTGGCGTGCAAGTGCAAACGCAGTGGAAGCAACGGACCTAGCAGAACCTGTGACTTTTCAAGACGCGATCAATGGTCCTGATCAAGCTCACTGGCGAAATGCTGTGAAGGCGGAACTCAAGTCGATGCATCTTCGTGGAGTTTTCCGTGCGGCAAAACTACCAAGAGGCCAAGGCGCGATCGGCACCAAGTGGGTGTTCAAGATCAAGCGCAAAGCGGATGGATCGGTCGAGAAATACAAGGCGCGTCTCGTTGCCAAGGGCTTCAAGCAGAAGTACGGCATCGACTACACAGAGACGTTCTCGCCCGTGGTCAAGTACGTGACACTGCGTATGGTGATCGCGATTACCAAGTATTTCGACTGGCCACTGGACCAACTCGATGTGGTGACAGCCTTTCTCTACGGAGTGATGAAGGAGAAGGTGTACTGCGTGGTACCAGAAGGCGTCGAGATGGATGGCGACTTCGACTGTCTCGAGTTGGTGAAGGCGATCTACGGTCTCAAGCAAGCTTCACGTGTGTGGAACGAGACTTTCGATGAGTTCGTATGCTCTATCGGTTTCGAAGCGTCGGCGTTCGACCCATGTCTCTACATCAAGGTTGTCGATGGTCACTGTGTGCTCGTGCTGGTCTACGTGGATGACGTGTTGGTCACCGGCAGCTCGCTCGAGTTGATTGCGCAGACGAAGGCCGACCTCAAGACGCGTTTCGAGATGACCGACAGTGGCAAGTGTACTTTTGTACTGGGCATCGAACTGGTGGACGAATCGGATGGCAGCGTGACGATGTGCCAGCGACGGTATGTCAACGACATCCTCAAGCGCTTCGGCATGGATGAGTGCAAGGCCACATCAAGTCCGGTCGACTTGAGCACTCGGCTTGTCGCAAGCACCGAAGCGGCCAAGATCGACGTTCCGTTTCGTGAAGCTGTGGGAGCTTTGATGCACTTGACGACTGCGACGCGCCCGGACATTGCGTATGCTGTGGGGTACGTCTCGCGCTTCATGGAGAATCCGCAGCAAGAACATTGGACGGCGGTGAAGCGCATCTTTCGTTACTTGCAAGGGACCAAGTCGCACGGACTCCGATTCCAGCCAAGCGATAAGATCGACTTTCGTGGCTACTCGGACGCGGACTGGGCCGGCGACCACGCTGATCGCAAGTCGACTTCGGGTTACACTTTCATGCTGATGGGTGCTCCTGTGAGTTGGGGAAGCAAGAAGCAGTCAAGTGTGTCGCTGTCGACGAGTGAAGCGGAATACATCGCACTGAGTCTGGCCATCCAGGAAGGCAAGTGGGTGCATCGCCTGCTATGCGAGATTTTGGCGGCCGCAAACGAACCAGGACCGGACCTCGTCATCCGTGAAGACAACCAGTCGTGCATCAAGATGACAAAGAATCCGGTGAATCATGGCCGCGCCAAGCACATCGACATCAAGTACCATCACATCCGTGATGAGGTCAAGCGCGGTGAAGTGCAGCTCGAGTATTGCGAGACTTCCGTGATGATGGCGGACATCATGACCAAGGGACTTTCGGGACCTCGTCACAAGGACTTGACGACGGCTCTCGGCATTCGTGCGAGTTCGGATTGAGGGGGCGTGTTGACGGTCATCGGTTTCTACCAGTATTGGTAACCGTGACCGGTCCAATCCGAACCGCCTGTTCAGCTTAGTATTTACGACGTAGTTCTTACGGTAATTACCATAGTTGATTAGACGCGTAGGATGATGAGACGCTTCACATGATTTATATGTGCACCACATATAAATCATGTAGTAAGTAGTAAGCCCCGATAATCAATCACTTTCCAATCTTCCATCTACCCCAAGTGTCTTCTCCGGTCTTCCAAGTGGACTCTCAGCATCCCTCCCAGTTTCGGTCGTCAAGCTCTTCATCATTCAACAAAACTGCCGTCTGGACAGCATACCATTGGCACCAAGTGGGTATTCAAGATCAAGCGGAAAGCTGACGGATCCATCGAGAAATACAAGGCGCGCCTCGTGGCAAAAGGGTTCAAGCAGAAATATGGCATCGACTACACGGAAACGTTTTCGCCGGTAGTCAAGTACGTGACGCTGCGCATGGTGGTTGCAATCACGAAGTTCTTTGGCTGGACACTGGACCAACTGGACGTGGTGACAGCTTTCCTTTACGGAGAAATGAAGGAAAAGGTATTCTGTGCGATCCCAGAAGGAGTCGAAGTTGATGAAAACTTTGACTGCTTTGAACTGGTTAAGGCGATCTACGGACTAAAACAAGCATCGCGCGTATGGAACGAGACTTTTCATGAGTTCGTCTGCTCCATTGGATTTCAAGTCTCCGATTTTGACCCGTGTCTTTATCTCAAGATTACAAGTGGCGAGTGCGTGCTTTTGCTGGTATACGTCGATGATGTGTTGGTGACTGGCAGCTCAACCGAACTGATTATGCGCACCAAGAGTGACTTAAAGGCGCGTTTCGAAATGACCGACAGTGGGAAGTGCGCATTCGTGTTGGGCATCGAGCTGGTGGACAACGACGACGGTAGCGTGACGATGTGCCAGCGACGCTACGTGGAAGATGTTCTCAAGCGTTTTGGCATGAGCGACTGCAAAGCCGTCACCAGCCCAACAGACATCAGTTCTCGACTCATACCAAGTACCGCAGCAACTAAAATCGACGCCCCGTTTCGTGAAGCAGTAGGCGCTCTGATGCACTTGATGACCGCGACACGACCGGACATTGCCTTTGCTGTGAGTTACGTTTCGCGCTTCATGGAGAACCCCCAAGTCGAGCATTGGATGGCGGTCAAGCGCATTTTGCGATACTTACAAGGGACTAAGTCGCGCGGTATCTGCTTCAAGCCTGATGACAAGATAGACTTCTGTGGCTACTCGGATGCAGACTGGGCCGGCGACCATGCAGACCGCAAGTCGACTTCAGGATACGCGTTTATCCTGATGGGTGCTCCGGTGAGCTGGGGAAGCAAAAAGCAGTCAAGTGTGTCGCTGTCAACAAGTGAAGCTGAGTACATTGCACTAAGTCTGGCGATTCAAGAAGGCAAGTGGGTGCATCGATTGCTGTGCGAGATTCTGGATGCCGCAGAGGACAAGTCTGGACCCGAGCTCAGGATCATGGAAGACAACCAGTCGTGCATCAAGATGACGAAGAATCCGGTGAACCATGGTCGGGCCAAGCACATCGACATCAAGTACCACCACATTCGTGATGAAGTCAAGCGTGGTGATGTCAAGTTGGAGTACTGTGAGACTACGATCATGTTGGCGGACATCATGACGAAGGGACTGCCAGGACCGCGCCACAAGGACTTGACGGAAGCGCTCGGCATACACGCGTGTTCGCATTGAGGGGGCGTATTGTGGGTTGACGGTTGAAGTACTGCTATCAGCTACCATGGGAACCGTAAACCTGTCCAAGTCGATCCCGCGTAATTACGGTGAGTTTTTACCAATGATTAGACGCATAGGATGATTGGATGACCTACATGATTTATGAATCATGTCTTATATGTGGACAACATATAAATCAGTGCAGAGATAAATCAGGTAGCTTTAACAAAACCCACAGATAAATTCACTTCCAAATATTCCTTCTTCAGCACAAGTCGTCTACACTTCGCAGTGCAGACTTCTTTCAAGCCTTTCAAGCTTCGTTCTCTCGTCCAGTGCTCTTCATACTTTAACAATCTGGAATGACAACACGTGGTGTTGTTGACGGTCATCGGTTTCTACCAGTATTGGTAACCGTGACCGGTCCAATCCGAACCGCCTGTTCAGCTTAGTATTTACGACGTAGTTCTTACGGTAATTACCATAGTTGATTAGACGCGTAGGATGATGAGACGCTTCACATGATTTATATGTGCACCACATATAAATCATGTAGTAAGTAGTAAGCCCCGATAATCAATCACTTTCCAATCTTCCATCTACCCCAAGTGTCTTCTCCGGTCTTCCGAGTGGACTCTCAGCATCCCTCCCAGTTTCGGTCGTCAAGCTCTTCATCATTCAACAGGTTATGAGCCCAAGCACGATGTCCTCTGCCCATGATGCCACCACCAAGATCTCCATCGACAAGTTCGACGGCGACAACTACGCGACGTGGAGCCGCTACATGCGTGGCGTGTTCCTGACCAAGTCGGCGTGGCACGTGGTGAACCGGGAGACCACCCCCCACCTTCGCCGATCCTCGCGCCAGTGACGACTACGTCAAGACGAACAACATTGCGTTCGGCTTGATGCTGCTGCACATGAGCGCAGATTATCATCACGTGGTTGATGACTGTGAAGAGGCGTGGGTCGCGTGGGCGCGTTTGAAGACGCTGTACGGCGGGTCGCAGAAGGCTGGACGCATCTACTTGAAGCGCCAGCTGTTCAGCATGGAGATGGCGGAAGGCGGCAATGTGATGCATCATTGCAACGAAGTCCTCAACACCAGCGCGAAGCTGGCTAGCATCGGCGCCAAGATGGAGGACGAGGACGTTGCGATCTGCTTGTTGCGCAGCCTCCCCAAGAGCTACGAGAACGTCGTTCTCAACTTGGAGATGAGCAGCGCGGAACTGCGATCGCGAGACGTCGTGAGAGTGCTCACGAATGAGCACATCAAGAGGCAAGGTGACAAGACGACATCGGTGAAGACTGAAGACGCGGCCAAGGCGTTCAGTACCGAGCGTGAACCTCGCCAGTGTACATACTGCGGAAAATTGGGGCACACGGCGGAGCGGTGCTGGACCAAGCAGAAGGACGAGAATCAAGGTGGAGCTCGACGCGGCGGCAACAATGCTCGTGGACGCGGAGCCAACAACGTTCAGTGGCGAACCAACAGCAACTACGACGACAACTGCGATCGAGTTGCGTTCGCGGTTTCGCTGGAGGCCGGACTTTCGACGGGCAAGAATATGCCAGGGATGTGGGCAGTCGACAGCGGTGCGACGCATCACATCTGCAACGACAAGGCCAAGTTTGCAAGCCTGAATGAGCGAGAGGAAGGCGAACTATCAGTGGCTGATGGCAGCAAGGCTGCGATCAAGGGTGTGGGAACCATCATGGAACGGGTGGTTCTGCCCAATGGTGACGAACGCGACATCGAGATCAAGGACGCGCTGTTCGTACCAAGCATGAGCAAGAATCTGCTTTCGGTGCCACAGATCAACAAGGGTGGGAGGTTCCAAGTCGTGTTCGATGGATCCAAGATGCAAGTGAAGCGCAAGAATTCCACACAAGTCGTGGCAACAGCGGATCTCGTCGATGGACTTTACTGGCTGCGGACTCCTCAACGATCGGCAAATGCAGCAACACGCAATGGGACCATCGACTTGCATGCGCGCATGGGTCATGCACCCCTCGAAGTTCTGCGCAAGATGGTGGCCACTGGCATGATCAAGGACGCCAAGGCACCTCTCAACTCGACTGGTCCAAGTGTGTGTCGCGGTTGCCAGCAAGGAAAGATGGTCCAAAAACCATTCCCAACCAACCGTGACAAACGCCAATATGGTATGTTCGAGTTGCTGCACTTCGACATCTGCGGGCCAATGGAACAAGTCTCGATCGGCGGCAGCAAATACTTACTGCTTGTGGTTGACGAAGCTAGCGGTTGCATGAAGGGCTTCTGTCTGCGGTCCAAGTCTGAGAGTGAAGACTGTATCAAGAACCACATCATCAAGATTCAAACTCAGTTCGGCACGAAGATCAAGTTTGTTCGGCACGGTGGAGCGCATGAGTTTGCGACCAACTCCATCAAGACCTTCAACGAAGATCATGGTATCGAACAACAGATCACGGTGCCGTATGCACACCAGACCAACGGCACCGCAGAACGCGCGATAAGGACCATCGTCACGATCGGACGCAGCTTGTTGCATCATGCAAAGCTGGAGAAGTGTTTCTGGGCTGAAGCGGCAATGACGGCGATCTACATCAAGAACCGCCTGCCTTCACCCAAGATCGACCACAAGACTCCGTTCGAGATCGTGTACAAGTAGAAACCAAGTGTCAAGCACATGCGCGTGTTTGGATGTCGGGCGTTTATCCTGACACCAAGGGAGAAGCGATTGAAGTGGGACCCGAAGGCTCGTGAAGGGATGTTCATGGGCTACGAAGAAGCGTCAAAAGCTTATCGAGTGTACGACATTGAGGCGGACCAAGTGGTGATCAGTCGTGACATCACCTTCGACGAATCGACTTTTGATTTTTCGATGGACCGACCAAGTGACGATGATGAAGATGCGGAGTTGGATTTCGACCTCCTGGCGATCAACGAGGACGACGTGCGTCAAACTGTCTACAAGCAGACTGGCAAGCGCAAGAGTGAAGCAAGACCCGGCATGTCACGTTCAGCTCGCCCTCGAACTGGATTGGAACAAGCAAGTGCACCGGCACACGTCTCCAACCGTCACCAGAAACGACGATCAAGTGCTCCAGAAACGATGTCTGATGACGAAGAAGATGCAAGCGTCTACGATCAAGATGACGACTTGACGCCTCCAACATTTTGGCGTGCAAGTGCAAACGCAGTGGAAGCAACGGACCTAGCAGAATCTGTGACTTTTCAAGACGCGATCAATGGTCCTGATCAAGCTCACTGGCGAAATGCTGTGAAGGCGGAACTCAAGTCGATGCATCTTCGTGGAGTTTTCCGTGCGGCAAAACTACCAAGAGGCCAAGGCGCGATCGGCACCAAGTGGGTGTTCAAGATCAAGCGCAAAGCGGATGGATCGGTCGAGAAATACAAGGCGCGTCTCGTTGCCAAGGGCTTCAAGCAGAAGTACGGCATCGACTACACAGAGACGTTCTCGCCCGTGGTCAAGTACGTGACACTGCGTATGGTGATCGCGATCACCAAGTATTTCGACTGGCCACTGTACCAACTCGATGTGGTGACAGCCTTTCTCTACGGAGTGATGAAGGAGAAGGTGTACTGCGTGGTACCAGAAGGCGTCGAGATGGATGGCGACTTCGACTGTCTCGAGTTGGTGAAGGCGATCTACGGTCTCAAGCAAGCTTCACGTGTGTGGAACGAGACTTTCGATGAGTTCGTATGCTCTATCGGTTTCGAAGCGTCGGCGTTCGACCCATGTCTCTACATCAAGGTTGTCGATGGTCACTGTGTGCTCGTGCTGGTCTACGTGGATGACGTGTTGGTCACCGGCAGCTCGCTCGAGTTGATTGCGCAGACGAAGGCCGACCTCAAGACGCGTTTCGAGATGACCGACAGTGGCAAGTGTACTTTTGTACTGGGCATCGAACTGGTGGACGAATCGGATGGCAGCGTGACGATGTGCCAGCGACGGTATGTCAACGACATCCTCAAGCGCTTCGGCATGGATGAGTGCAAGGCCACATCAAGTCCGGTCGACTTGAGCACTCGGCTTGTCGCAAGCACCGAAGCGGCCAAGATCGACGTTCCGTTTCGTGAAGCTGTGGGAGCTTTGATGCACTTGACGACTGCGACGCGCCCGGACATTGCGTATGCTGTGGGGTACGTCTCGCGCTTCATGGAGAATCCGCAGCAAGAACATTGGACGGCGGTGAAGCGCATCTTTCGTTACTTGCAAGGGACCAAGTCGCACGGACTCCGATTCCAGCCAAGCGATAAGATCGACTTTCGTGGCTACTCGGACGCGGACTGGGCCGGCGACCACGCTGATCGCAAGTCGACTTCGGGTTACACTTTCATGCTGATGGGTGCTCCTGTGAGTTGGGGAAGCAAGAAGCAGTCAAGCGTGTCACTGTCGACAAGTGAAGCGGAATACATCGCGCTAAGTCTGGCCATCCAGGAAGGCAAGTGGGTGCATCGCCTGCTATGCGAGATTTTGGCGGCCGCAAACGAACCAGGACCAGACCTCGATATCCGTGAAGACAATCAGTCGTGCATCAAGATGACAAATAATCCTGTCAACCATGGCCGTGCCAAGCACGTCGACATCAAGTACCATCACATCCGTGATGAGGTCTAGCGCGGCCAAGTCAAGCTCAAGTACTGTAAGACTACGGTGATGTAAGCAGGCATCATGACCAAGGGACTTCACGGACCGCGTCACAAGGACTTGACGACGGCTCTCGGCATTCGTGCGAGTTCGGATTGAGGGGGCGTGTTGACGGTCATCGGTTTCTACCAGTATTGGTAACCGTGACCGGTCCAATCCGAACCGCCTGTTCAGCTTAGTATTTACGACGTAGTTCTTACGGTAATTACCATAGTTGATTAGACGCGTAGGATGATGAGACGCTTCACATGATTTATATGTGCACCACATATAAATCATGTAGTAAGTAGTAAGCCCCGATAATCAATCACTTTCCAATCTTCCATCTACCCCAAGTGTCTTCTCCGGTCTTCCAAGTGGACTCTCAGCATCCCTCCCAGTTTCGGTCGTCAAGCTCTTCATCAATCAACAGGTGTGTCACCAGAAACGGCTGTATAATACAGTAAACCGTTGCGAGTAGTGTATCGATCTGATGCAGATCGATACGCAGGAGACAATCGTTTCAACGATTCTCGAGATGGTTGGGAGATTTGTGTCAACAACTTCACAATCTCACCATCTTGGGCGTATGCCCGCCTCACATCATCATACAACGTTGTAGATGGGACTGAGGACGTCATACCCGCAACAGTGGCTGTCTCACTGTTGGGTTTCGCGACTGTTTCAAAGTCGGGACGACGTGAGAGTGTATCAGCGACGACATTAAGTCGTCCTGGTTTGTTTTCGACCGTAAAGTTGTATTCTGCAAAGAATGACAACCACCGCGCCATTCGTTGTGAAAGGTGCGGGCTGTTCACTGCCGTGCGTAATGACGCATGGTCAGTGTAAACAATGAAGGGTCTATCTCCTAATAGATAGACTCTGAACTTCGCGAGTGCATCGACCCACCACCAGCAGCCTGCTGCTGTCTCAACAGTTCAAACTGTTGAGCACCCTGTTCTCTCAACACCCTGCTTGTTGAGAACCTTGTTGGTGAAGCAAGGCTACTTTCTCGCGTTCAGCGTCAAGTTCATTTTGAATGAACTTGGCGATAGTAGCATGTTGGGCATCTCTATTGAGAGCCTCTAGCATGACGCTAACAGCATGGATGCCAATGGTCGAACCCATTCGTTCAACCGCATCCCATTCGACATCGATCAAATGGGAGTAGCCGTCACGCGTCGCATGAAAGCTTTGGTCATCTTCATCATCCAACATATTCATGTTAGGTGTGAACGTGGTCCTTGGACGGACTACGAAGTGCTACCAGGTGTAACGGGGCACCCTGAAGCTTGTACTAGTGACAGTACAAGCTACTTATTCTGATGATAGAATAAGGCGGTGCCTCGTAACTTCACGTACACTCGTACGTGCAGAGGAAGACGGTAAGAAGAAGCGAGTACTTGGTTAGAGTAAAAAGTAGAACTGTATTTATAATAGTTAATGTCTGCAATAAATCACTATTTATCTTCATCTAACTATGTCTAAATACAAATGTGTAAATCAACTATCTGCTCACCATCATTGCGTGCGTCTGTCGCGGCGCGTCTTCGTTGGTCGATATAATGGCCTATATCAACCAATTAGGAACTACTTGTAAGTGCAACAGAATATTTGTCCTTTTGACAATATTCTGAGAATATAACTCTTATAGTTATATTCTATTAACAATTTCTTATGAATTGTTATGCAACGATTCACCCCGTTACATCACCCCCCCTTAACCATCAGTCACTTTAGTGACTCATTGACTAAATGGATACTCGTCCCAAATCATTTGGGACAGGGTTTGCACTTATGGTCCGAGTCCACTTCCCAACATATCATCGCATGGTTAACAAGCCCATGCGATGCGCGAGCAAGGCCGCCGAGAGCGCGTCCGCACGTCTCTGTGCGGACGCCGAAGCAGAAACCGCTGCAATTGATGTGTCATCGGTTGCTGAAGCGACTCAGCCTGTGTCACTTGGTGATGCAGGTGCTGGTCATGAAGACACTCATGTCTTCACAGAGTATGAGCTCGGTGTCTCGTACTCTCCTGATACGGAAGACGGATCCGTATCGACGGCGATCGAATCCAAGCCGCCCGCCAAGCGTGGCATGGACGATGCTTTGCGTCGTAGCATCTTTGGTTCATCTGATGAATTAGATGAACCATCGCCAAAGCGAAGGCGCTCGAGGTCGCGAGACTCGGGCGCTAATAGTGGTGTCGGTTCTTCCATGGACACCACTTCGCAACGAGGTGCCAGTCCTTCTGTCGACACATCGCAGGAAGAGCGGGACCGCAATGTCTTGCGTCTAGCTCCCGAGAAGAAGGCATGGATGCCTCCCAAATCAGTCATGGATCACTTGTCGGCGACGACGAGTGATCGTTATCGAACACGTTTGTTCGATTCGTCAGGGATCCATCACCTTGACCCCAGCGCGAAAAATTATCGCGCTGAGAATGAATTCTTCATCGATGCTTTCTTTAGACATCGATGGTACAGTGGGAATCAAAAGCGTGATGGTCTCTCACTACTTCAAGCGTGGAACGCCTACACCCATAACCTTGAGGATGTAGGTCGTGACGCTTGGAACGACAAACTTATCAAAGCTCGTGATAAGTTTGAAAAGCGAACCCCGACAGGTGCACGCTACAAGCTGCATCGTCTGTCAAGGGAGAAGGGATTACCCTGCCTCTCATGGGGAGACTCGTGCCCATGTTGTGTGAACAACTCTGCACGAGCACCTAAGGAGGCTTACCTCCTTACTAGCCCTTGGTGGCGCGTACGTATCTCTACTGGGATGTACGAAGGGATTGACAACCTGAAATCCCTTTACGACCGTGCCGGGAAGAATTTCTCCGGCGGTCCTTCTGCAGCACAGGATGTGCCGCGTCGTACTGCCCAACCAGACCCAGTACGTCGATCATCAGTTGGGAGCGGGGCTCCCAAGTATCCCAGGACGGGGGATAGCCGCGCCACCGGACGAGATAACTCGTCCGACGTCCGTTCACGTCGCGGTGGTTCAACCGCTGCTAAACTATATAGCGCTGGCCACCGCGAGAGTCCTCAAATGGAGGTGGAGGAGGAGGTAAGACGCTCTCCACACGATCATGGGGATCCGTGTTCCCGAAGCTTCTTTGATCGCGTAACGCAAGGGTTACGCAACGATCTCGAACATGAGCGGGACAGGTGTCTTCAAATGGCGGACACTGTCTCGAAGCATCGAGCTGAGTTTTCCTTTGCTCAGCTTGAGAACGAGAGATTTCTGACATCTCTTCGTGACGAGCTAAGGGTAGCTCGTGGGATTGTTGATCGGTCTCGGGATGAGATAGCTGCTCTTCAGACCCTTGTCGATGCCCACCTTTAGAGCACAAGGCTCTCTGCGAGATGCTTTAGCGCAAGGGCGTTCTTCATCGGAAGAAGCAGCGTACTGATGGTACGGTTTAAGCCGACCAACGTAAAATGTGGGATGCATGCGCATCTTACGTGGCAACTCGATCGTGTATGCATTGCCTAGGCGGAGCAATACACAAAATGGGTCGATGTACTTGGGTAGTAGTTTACTGCTACCCAAGTTAGTCACTACATGCTTTGGTAGATTAACCGTGGACATTAGGACTAAGTTAATGAGGGTTACCGGTACAATCCGAACCTAGCGCGTAGTTCTTACGAGATAGTTTTTACATCGGTAATTACCTCAGAGATGATTAGACGCGTAGGATGATTAGACGCGTGTAAATCAGGTTGATTAGATGCACCATGTGATTGGATGCAGTCTAGGGTAGGCAGAAGTTAAGACCTATAAATCAATCACTTTCGAATCCTCCCTCAAGTGAGCAAGTGTTCTCTGCTTCGTTCTCTCCGGTCTCTCCGCTTCGTTTTCTCTTCGCCTCGCGCTCAAGTTACAACAGGTTATGAGCCCAAGCGCCATGTCGTCCAACAACACCTCGGCCAGTGTCTCCATCGATAAGTTCGATGGGGACAACTACTCAACCTGGTGTCGCTACATGCGCGGCGTGTTTCTGACGAAGTCAGTCTGGTACGTCGTGAACCGCGAAACGTCTCCAACCTTCACCGACACGCGAGCTTCCGACGAGTACGTCAAGGCGAGCAACATCGCGTTCGGGTTGATGTTGCTCCACATGGACGCCGACTACCACCATGTGGTCGACAACTGTGAAGAAGCATGGACAGCGTGGTCGCGGTTGAAGATGCTCTATGGTGGGTCGCAGAAGGCGGGACGCATCTACCTCAAGCGCCAGCTGTTCAGCATCAAGATGGCGGAAGGTGCCAACGTCTTGCACCATTGCAACGAAGTCTTGAACATCGGCGCCAAGATGGAAGACGAAGACATTGCGATCTGCTTGCTGCTCAGTCTCCCGAAGAGTTTCGAGAACGTGGTTCTGAACTTGGAGATGAGCAATGCAGAGCTGCGCACGCAAGATGTGGTCAAGGTGCTGACTAACGAGCACATCAAGCGACAAGGCGAGAAGATGACGACGGCAACGACAACGGTGAAGACTGAAGATGCGACAAAGGCCATTAGTACCGAGCGCAAGCCCTACCAATGCACATACTGCGGCAAGGTGGGGCACACGGCAGAGCGTTGCTGGACGAAGCAAAAGGATGAAAGTCGAGGAGCCCAACGCGGCGGCAATGGTCGTGGACGCGGGGCAAACAATGTCCAGTGGCGACATTATGATGAAGGCAACAGCTACGATCGAGTGGCGTTTGCAGTTTCGTTCGAATGCGGAGTTTCGACGAACAAGAATGGACCAGGAATGTGGGCCGTTGACAGCGGGGCAACACATCACATCTGCCACGACAAGTTTAAGTTTGCAAGCTTGGTCGAAGGCAATGATGGCGAGATCGTGGTGGATGATGGCAACAAGGCGGCCATCAAAGGTGTGGGGACCATCGTGGAAAAGGTGATTCTGCCAAACGGGGAAGAGCGCGAGATCGAGATCAAGAACGCGCTCTATGTGCCCAGCATGAGCAAAAATCTGC